GTATGCCCAAAGGATCAGAGCACAGTCCTGGGTGAAATAATTTCTCTTGACATCAGCAGCCCTGTCTTTTCTGGAAAATAAACCCGCCTGGGGAAGATAGATGAGGGTCATATTGGTCTCAGCACCCTAAAAAATACCTATGAGGAAAGGCTGGGCTGAAAACCTCCACTATCAGTCTTTCAAAATACGAGCGCTTGCAGGTATCGTGGACCTGTAGCCTCTTCTAGCTCTGGCCAGGGGTAAAAAAATCTGAGCATAGAGGAGAGAAAGGAAGAGCACTGGGGTTGCTCCCCTGCAACATTTCAGACTCATGTTCAGGCCTTAGCTGGAGAAGACCAGGTTTGCCAACACAGTTGCACAGTCCCAGGGGTTGCAGCCTGCCCTTCCAGAGCGGGGGTCAGTGCCCGCCGAGGTGCGGGACTGCCGCACAGCCCTCCCAGGACCCAAAAGGCAGCGGTGTCATATCAGACTTGTGCACGTGTGACTGTGTTGGAGCAAAGCCAGGGGAAATGATCGCCAGGATGCAAATCCAAGAAAGTTGCCCTTGTTAGCAGAAAGTTCCTCACAGTCACAACTTTTTTTTTCTTTTTTTTTTTTTTGCATTTTCTTAGTTGAAAACAGGAATAAATATAATGAAATGCAAGGGAATCCTCTAAAAATGTGACCATTTTAACAATCATCAAAGTTATCTTAAGAAGTTTCCCTTTAAACCCGTGCATCTGCTTCACAAAACCAGACACATTTTAATAGTAGCTTAAAAAGGAGTGGAAATTATTCTAGCTGATCTGCAAACCGCTGCATGTGCACATGCAGGCTTGCTGCCTGAGTAGTGTGTTTAACAGAGGCAGTGGCGGAGGGTGATATATGATGTGACATTAAATGGCACTGAAAAGTCTAAAAAATATTACTGCTGGGACTGAAGCAGTTGCACTCTTGAGCCATGTGGGGTGGGAACTGCTGAGTATAAGCGTGACTTCCAACCTTCACTTAAAAGTTAATGCGAGAATATACCAATATAATAGCCTCATTGGAGTTTGTTAAATGTTGTGGTATTTTTTTAAACTAAAGTTGCCTTCAAACTGAAAGCAGCGGATTTCCAGTGGACAATGCCTTTGTGACAACGCGATAAGCTTTATTTAAAAACCACCAATTTGTTTATTTATTTGTTTTAATTACTTTCTAGAAAAAATAAAGTATTGAGCAGCCTGCCCTTAAATATCTCCTTGCTGAATTTGCACTATGAATATTGTACTTGGGGGGGGAAAGAAAAAAAGGACTCAAGAAGGAAAGAAATGAACTTTCAGCTCCCTTACTGTGGTGTAACCTGGATACAGTGGAGAGAAAAAAGAAAAGCATGGATGGTAACATTAGTTTGTTAAATAATGTGTGTCAGGTAAGCATTTCATTTTTATTAAAAAATATTTTTACCTAAGTTTACCAAGCATGCTTCTCTAGCTGACAAATGGAACTGACAAGCATACGAGTGGGTTATCACCTATGTTAAGCTGTGTTTTTGCTTTTGGAGAAACAGTTTGCATCCGAACTGGACCATTAATCATGAGAGTTGTCTGTCGAGGTGAAATGGTCACTAATTGCTTAATGTTAAGCTTTGTGCTTAATGCTGGCTGCAGGTCAAGTGAAGCGTGTGAAGCACACAGGTCACTTTGGAATCAGTTGAACACCAGCTGCTACTGAAAGGGTGTCTTTGCAAGTGAGAACAAATATTTTGGTGTTTCTTTTCCAAAAAGTAATCACCCAATGATAATCACTCCTCCGGAAAACTGATCAACTGACACCGAGATTCAGTTTGATACAAAGGGCACTCAGGAAGGAAAGTGTAACCGACTCCTTGGAGCATGTTGATAAAGCTTAGAAAAAAATTCCCCCTGTGCATGACAGAAACTAATACTTCTGAAACAGCACGGATGCTGTGGAGTCTATAAACATAGTTTCCTCTGATTCTAGGGGAGAGTGAACATTTGGTCTCAAAGAATTTAAAAAAAAACAACAACACAAGCTTGTGGGTTAAGTTCTTCCAAAGTGCTTTCCAGATCTGATATCCACACCAAACTTCACTGGCTCCATGTCACCTTCACTTGCGATATCATGCTTAGACAAAGAACAGTCTCTTTTAACATAATTCCCTCTGTAACGGTCTCGGTTTCTTTTCTGAGTTTTATTGGAGTTGTAACACTGTGTTTTGCTCATTTAAGTCCCCAAACTTCCACATGAGTATATATTTTTTGTTTGAATTTTATTTTCTGATGTCTATAGAAAGAATAAGGGCAATTAATGTAAGACATCGCTATCCATAATCAAGCTAGATGGAGCTTCTTAAATTGAGAAAATATTTTTTGTGCATGCTTATCTAGTTGACAATTTTGTCTAAAAACTGAACCTGTGACTCTAAGACTGTGAATTATCTTCATCTAACTGCTAAACTTGCTTAGCTGAAACTTTTAAGTAATGATTTTTTTGAAAGCCCAGCCGTATTGTACAGGCTTTTCAGTTCCTTTTCATTCGCTAGCAAGTAAAGCAGCCTGAGGTTTGTAGGACTTGCTACACATCTGCATCTTGAAAGATGCTCTCATATTTCATCTACTGTCAGGATAAATGCTAGACCACTAATAACATGCTTAGACCAGTATATTTTCATAGATATATTTCAAAGCTTTGTTGGATAAATAAATATCACTAGAAATACAATTTAATTTGATTTTAATTTGCTTGTATAATTACTATACTTTGAAACAAGAGATTATTCCAAAACCCCCAATGCGGACCATGAGGCTATTAGAGAATTAAATGCATGTTGCACTGAGAGCAAATGGGGCAGCTTCCACCCACTGTCCCAGCACAGGATCTTGACAATGGGCTGAAGCTGCAATCCCTGAATAGTTCCAAGATTCCCTCTGTCTTAAATTGATTTCTTCTCTGATTTCAGATATACACATTTGCCTCAAAGCTCTTACAACAGCCTCTGCTTTCATGGCTGTGGAGACCAGGAGCCTGTTGAGCTGTGTGCTTAGGAAAGGGCAAGTACCAGACATCCCCCTCCCTTCTTCAACCAGAACAAAATTGCATTTAATTTCTACCACTAAAAATCCATTTCTCTGAGAGGTCCACAGCACCTGGGCAGCTTCCGTATGATCTATGGTGGGAAGACAGAAAGCAGATGCAATGGCTTTGGTTACAATGAAAGATTCGCATAGCATAGATTAGAGCTTGTGTTTCCCAGAGCCTTTTTTCCTTGCCCTTGAAAAGACAATTCAAATTCCAAATCTAAATAACTATTTGATCCACTGGTTCATGGAGAAACAGGGGTCTGGTATTTAACCTCTGGAAAACCAAATTTAACAATTCAGGGATTTCTGTGGCCAGAGCAATCATATCTGCATTGTTCAAAAGTTCATTTTTGCAACTTCCCATAGACACGCCTTTCAGCCCATTCCAAAATGCAAGTAATTTGCAAGTAACACTTTAGAAGACCATTTGTTTACCATATTTTTAGAAACTGAAAGGTCAGTGATGGTGAATATTTGCATTAATGTGGCAGGAAAGACCCTAGTAATGAGGCAGAATCCCATGGTGGTAATTTTTACACGGATGACTCTTCAGCCAAGTAGTTGAACCTGGTGGTGGTGTTAGTACAGAGCAAACATTGAGGGCAAATGGAGATAAATTCCCCTGCTTGACCCAGTGGTGAATTTTAATTGATGCAAATCTACAAAAGACTTAAAAGATGGATTCGATTGAAGTATATTTGCAAACACGTGTCCTCCCCTCCTGGAAAGAGTCCTGAGACACTTAAAAATCAGCAAACGGGGAGCTGGCAGCGTTGCCAGTCACATGAAGGGGATGAGCTCACTGCTGAGGCTTCAAACGAATAAATGCAACTTCTCCTTTCAACCTGTGACTGCTGCAATTTCATAACAGAGTAGAGGCTAGGCTGCTTATCAGAAAAATACCTGTAATGCTAAATGGGCCAAATCAAGATAAAGATAAAACTTCACAGTGTGTGCAACTCTGGGTCCTTTCACTTAAATTCACAAACTGCATATTCTCTTCCTCTTTTTTTCTCCACTTACTGTACCATTTATTTAACAATGAAGATTTTTAAGACCAAAACCTTAAAAAAGTATTTATACAAAATTCCTATCACTACCACTGGAAACACTAACATCTATGCATTCTGTTAAAATGAGTAGAGAAAAATAGCTAACCTGTTATTTTTGATGTACCCCTCTAAGTCTGGCTTTTAAAATAAATTACCATTTCAAAACATGTAAATACATCAGCTATAAAAAGTGCTGGGAATCTGTAATCTATTGTCAACTTTATTTTTAGCTTTGCCTGACTTTGTGTTTCATGTCGTTCAGGGAAAAAAGCATAAGTTCCCCCACTTCTCATACACTCAGTGCTACACTGTACAATTTATAGCAACTCCAGATGGAAAAGACTTACCCTTATTTGTTTGCTGGCATGAAGATAAATATAGCCCTCATTTCCGGAGAATCAAAACCAACTATTCCTCTAAAGCACTTTAATTGTCTATTAAAATTTATCTTCCCATACTTATCTGAAAGTTGCAGCTTCTTCTTTTTAAAGAAGAAATTCAAAATACCACACAAAATAAAACTGACAAATTTTATTCAGAAACACAAGGAAAACACAGAAATATGTAACATAATAAGGAAAGTGCAGAAATTATAAGGTATCTGATACATTTTTTATAAAGTAAAATCAGTATTTTTAGGCCAAATTTTAGATACAGGCTTCATCAATCTGGCTTCAGAAACAGTTTCCCTTCTATCAGCACAGGAGAAAGAGAGCCTTTGCTCACACTTTTTTCACAGTAAGTATGACCCCGTCGTCCCGTCTCATGGGTAGATGGAACAAGCTGAAATAGTCCCACTGGACATATTGGGGAAATTTATGCAAAGAATTTCCTAAATTAACTCTTACAGAACTTCATATGAGAATTTAGCATATGCAAGATATCATCTGTTTATATTTTGTAAAACAAGGGGCTCTTCGATGCTCGTGCCAGCCATCCTTCCTGGTTCTGGAATTCTATCTGAAAATTAAACACAGACACAAATATTCTCATGCATCTGGAGGTCCAAAGGTGTAAGTGTTATTTTCTACTATTATCAACTTAGATACACAATATCATTCCACAAAACTAAGGTAATTGTACAAGTTGTTTTTTTTTCCATGCAACTGTATTTAGCTAAGAGCTTTGCATTACCAAAGATTAGATTTGAGATAATTTCCAACTCTGCTGTAGTGAATGAACTAATAGAAACACCAGATCCCACACGTTTACCAGGACTCACAGACTGTTGGAATAGTTCGTCAACTAAATAAGCAAGACAATTACTAATATGAAACGCACGTTAGATGTTAAATATGGGACTTGGATGGACTAGATTACCTGAATATGCAGCCTAATTAAAACAGCTAATTAGTATTTTAAACTGACTGCCTTTAGGTCTCCAATGACATATCCTACAAACAAACAGAAAGTAATTTCAGACTATAGTTACTTAAAGGTTAAAAGCTTTTTTTTTTTGTTTAGTTCAAAGAGCAATGCGCTGTCATATCTTATGATTAATCCTGAGTTTTGTAAACAATTAAATCCCTGTGTGAAAATTGCAGTCAATAGGTAAAGGTGACCCTGCACAAAGTCACTTTCAGAACTGAGGTACAAAGTTATACTTTAAAAGCTATTTTTCTATAGACTGAGTTTGTTTTAAAAAATGGAGAGATATCTGATAGGAATAATTATTTTCTAACCAAGTGATAATTTACAGCAGTTTGCATATTGAAATTTTATTTCTTCAGCCCCCCCTTCTGGCAGAAGGGAAACATTGTTTCAAGGTATTTTGTACTTCTCTCACACTTTTTAGTTGTCAGTAGTACCTCAGGTCTCGCTTTTCAACTTTTTGGACACAAAAGAAATAGTTAATAGTACTAACACAATAGTGTTACTAAATTCTAAAATTTTACAGTAGAAAGTGAATATTCCCAGCAGACTCTTTGAAGGAAAAAACTGGACCAGTGATCCCTTTCACCCTCTAGCTTAGGTGATACTAAGTGTAACCAGTCAAGAAGCAGACCAGAAAGGGAAAACAAAATGTAGCAGTGTTCTGTTCTAGAGCAATGAACTCCCAGCTTAAGCTTCTGCAGTCAATGGGATGTCAATTATTTCCTCAGAAAAGGTTTATGCCCATATACAGAATTGACAGCTAAAGAGTGAAGAATTTTCTACAGATATTAAGTAAGTTGGAACAGATAAGAAAAAAAGATATGCCCACTACTTAATATATTTTCCTGAGAATTTAGGTTAAATTCTTTTATGAAATTGTCAATGTAATAAGACTGCCCTTAGCAGACCTATTCCAGATTCGTAGAAGTATAAGGGAGTACAATTTGGCGAGCTTAACTTTTAGGAAAATGGTAAAGCACTTTTGTGATGAGCTTTCTGTTACTAAGAATTGTGATATTGTTACTAAGAATTGTGATATTAATCTCTTCTGGTCTTTAGCAACAACTGCAGAACAGTAAATCTGTTTCTAAAAGCATAAACAGCATGACAGATTTTCTACTACCTATAAACTAGAATAGCACAGCTGTACAATTTACACGCGCTTTCTGTTTTTAACAGTCTAAAAGTCTTAACAGAATAAAACAATATGGTTTTTTTGTTCCCCTTCCCTCTAGTAACTGACGAGTAGCTACAGCTACCCAAGGTAACAGGAGTGTCATGGTACTTGTGCTGTTGAAAAATTATATAAATTTGGCGTCTGCGATATTTAAAAATGTCTCTTTTATAAATAAAATAGATTTCCATATGAGAAAGTTCTACTACTGACACATCTGAAGGCCAGTCAAGCACCTCCAAGGATGACGGCATATGGATTTGTGTGCTGTATATGCTGTTCCCCCAGCACACCAGGAGAGAGAAGCAGGCCCGAGAGCTCATGTAAGTTGGTCACTTATTTAAAGAAAGGCACGAGACAGGTGCTTCTAGAAATCATGAGTATCTTTCTTGAGCTGGATATAGGAGGACCTTTCTTAAATGAATACATGAGCAATAGGCATGGTCAGGTCACAGAGCTTAATGGTATTGGTGAGGTATAAACACCTTTCCGCTGAAGGATTGTTTTTTTTACAAAAGATGTGTCAGTCCAAAGTATCCCTCGCACACAGGAGGTATGGTGTCCACCTGCGTGTTTATGCCGTTACAAGCATATGTACCATATAGAAAATCTAGTAACAAATAAAACTTTTGCAAAAATGACAACAGCACTCACCTTTCTGATTTCTCTCCATAGGTGGTTTGCCAAGGTTCTGCTTTGGATAACTCAACAAAGACACTTTTGTGGGTGTATTCTGGGTACCTTCTTTACCACCATGTAAGAAATGAGAGATGATTCCATACAAGAGAGGTCTGCTTAAGACAGAAATTACAAAAGCAGTCTATGAAATACCAAGCGTTAAAAATAGACCCTTTCCTCAGAACTTCTTAGGCCTTGATGTTTACTTCTAGAATAGACAGATGTCTTCGGTTATTTAAAATATATATTAAAATTTAATTATATAAATAAGCACAGACCTAAGCCCACCTTGAACACCAGCACTCTCCTAAAAAGCTCAGACTAAAAGACACTGTCAAGTAAACTCCAGATTCTCTGTAGATGAGTAACTGGAGCATGCTTAGCACAAGAACACAGATCCACATTCTCAGTCATGCAGTGTGAAAGACCAGGCTCTGGTGTGCCATAGCACAGTCCACCACTCACATCCCACACTTCCTTTCTCCTAAGTGCCTGACAGATTCTGACAGCACAAGCTACAGAAAACGTCAAATGTGTTTAAACCTGCTTCAGCACCCTAGCTCATTAATGCAGTTGTAACAGGGCATTGTGAATTTACATCTAATCTCAGAGTACAATAATCTTTTTATTGTTTTACAAAGCAACTCGCAGATAAGCAAAGAGCAGATCTGTTTTCTGCTTCCGACTGTAGGGAAGATTGTACTGGTAGGAGACTGGTGCTTCAGTGTGCAATTGCACTATGTGAAGAATACTACAAAGGTGGCAGAATTAAAAGTTTGAAGCAGATTCGAACATTGTGAACTTGAATCCAGCATGTTAGAGTAGGCATGTGATCTGGTCACATTTCAATTGGGGAGAACATTTATATGTGACTTATAACAACGCTAAAGAGAAAGAAATATGCAGAACAGAATATTCTGTGCATTCCAGAAAAGCTCCTTACACCGATTTTGCATTTGTGTCTTCGACTATATTCAGCTCCTTGGCAAGAAACTGTCTATCCAAGGGGACTTCAGGCTGGCCAGATTCTGGAAAAGAGATTTCCCCAAAACTCTTAAGACTGGTACATCACTAATTATCACGAGACATCAAAAGAGAACGAAAGCACACTCCTCCCTTTCAGACTATTAACATCTAACAGTATACTGTAGTTCTAGAGAACTCACTTAAACATTAGTGCTTCATACTCAAGTAATTTACAATAGCATATTACAATTTTTACCTTCATTCTAAATGTAGCCAAGAAAAATTTTAAAGAAGTCTTACTGGATAAATTAATCAGGCAAACAACTCCTTCTCTGAAGTACTTTATCAAACAGATTCCATACATAAACTACTAGGCAGACTGTCTCCATTCCATCTTCTTGTGTGAAATATATAAAATTATTACATATGAAATGTAATTACTGTATCTAAGCACAACTACAGAACTTCAGATTTCAAATACAGATTAGCAATTGCTGCAAAAGTAAGTGCTGTACCATTTTAACGACAGCTACCATTTACATGTTGTAGTCTAAACAGGTCTCCAATGCTGATGTTTTAGGACAGGCAGTAACAACAGTGCTTAACTGCAGTCATTAACAAAATACAGATCTTCTTCATATTCTTTTTTGTTATTTCAGCTAAGGACATCTAACCAAGTTTCTGGTACACTCTACATGCATGAATTGCCAAAATTGCTAGAACTCAGACTGTCAACTACTTTATACTACTTTAGATTATTCCTCAAATTTTGTTTATTTGTAGGCTGTTTTATTTTACCCAAGTGATAAATGACATAAAAATGTGATATATGCTTTAAGAATACTGTCATTTTCCAAAATAAAAGAAGATATTTCATGAAACCTATTTTGATTTTGCAGGCTGCTAGCATTCTTGCTCTTGCATTAATTACTTTGTCAAAGCATTTACCTCAAGAACGAGGAGCAAAGAGTAAGTTCTACTGAAAACTAATGTATGATTTAGCTTAATGGTGTAAGTAAGGTTGTGGAGACAGTGTTCGTGTCTTATTTATTACCAAAGAAAGATTGTGGAGCTCAGTACGCTGTATTAATTTTATGGTTTACTCAACCAAGTAGTAAATGTCTATTAAGACAGTGATGACAAGAGAAACTCCCAAATACCTGAAGTTAAAACAGATGCTGTGTAATTGTATTTGTTATATTCCAGGTATTCACGAATTAGTTCGTTGATTAAGAGGTTTTCATGAGACAGTGATGGCCGTGGTGCGCTTTGGTCATCCAGTGCATTAAAAACTTCAGCTCTGATCCTCGCTTTTATTTGCCTGAGAGCGCCTCTTTTTTCCAGCGTGTCCTTTAAAACTATCACCATAAAAAGATCTGTTACTATCAAGCCAAACGCGTTCAAGCAGCACTTAATATCCACAAGATAAACATAATTTCGGCGTATTCACGGTGACACACAGATAAGATATCTGCCTCGGTGCATATGCCAGCGGGAAGAACATTACAGATAAAAACCAAGCCTTCAAAGAAGCCACAGCTGTGGGGGTTTAGCAGTAAACACACGTTCCGGCCCTTTCAGACGCGGGACGTGGCTGCACCAAGCTGGTTTTAGCGAAGGCAAGGCGGGCCGAGGTAACGACCGAGCGCCGGAGCGCGGCTCAGGGGCCTTTCTGCCCCACGGGCGCTGTGAGGAGC